ATGTAACTGTTGAAATATTTTTCGTCGACAGGGTTGTGGCACAAAGGGGTGATTATTACCCGTCGAAGTGTAGCAAATAATAGATGCATCTGAGAAAGGGATGGGTACAGTTTTAAGATTCAAGTTAGACTTCTCTTTGCAGGCCTTCAAATATGCATCGTCTACTTGTAGTTTTGCGATTGTTTCTAGATCGATGTCTTGTTTACGTACCATAGTATTTACGTCCTTTCATGACAATGCATCCGCTACGACGTTGGTGTGTCCTTTGACAAATTGAATATCTGTCGTAAACTGGGAGATGTAATCCAGTTGTCGTGCTTCGCGAGGTGAGTGTCGGTCGTACGAAGTGTTGAATGAGTAACATAGAGGTTTGTGATAGGTCATGATGGTGAAAGTTCGTCCTTGTAATAAGAAGTTAAAGTGCTTAACGTCCAAGTAGATAGCAAGTAACTCCCGCCCAAAAGTACTGTAGCGTTCCTCGGCTAGTGACAGTCTCTTGGAATAAAACGCCACGGGAGTAGTCATGTTATTTACCTGTTGTTGCAATACAGCCCCGACAGCTTTCTGTGAGGCATCCATACATAGGATCAAATGAGTGGTGGGGTCGGTATTGTGGTGTTGTAACATGGTAGCGTTGACTTTCAAGGACTTTGCTTTTCAAATGCAATTTTGGAGTCAGGAGGTAGCTTGAATGTTTGGTTCTTTTCCTTCCTCGTACCTTTTTTGTCACTTTTCAGTAAATCAGTTAACGGCTGTGACACATCCACACATCGTGGTAGGAATCGGCGGTAGAAACTGCACGTCCCGAGAAAACGGCGTAATGACTTTATAGAGGTTGGTTCAGGGTAATTGGTAATAGCTTCAACTTTTGTTGGGAGTGGTTTGATGCCTTGAGAGTCGATGTAATGTCCTAAAATCTCAAGGCTGGGACGGCGAATATACATTTAGAAGGATTGATAACAACGCCATGTTTCTTGAAACGTTCAAAGAGGATCTGAACATGCTGCGTGTGCTTTTCTATTGATGAGCTTGCGATCAAAACGTCGTCTATGTAGGCGAATACGAGTCTAAACCTCTTGTGACATCATCCATGAATCGTTGGAATGTCTGGGCGGCATTTTTCAATCCGAATGGCATTCTTAGAAACTCAAACAGACCAAAGGGTGTGATGATGGCCGTTTTCTCGATGTCTTCTGGTGCCATCGGAATTTGATGGTATGCACGCACGAGGTCGAGTTTCGAGAAGATGCATTTACCATGTAAATTTAACGAGAAGTCATGTATATGTGGGATAGGATACCTATCAGGGATGGTTTGATTATTCAGACGGCGGTAGTCGCGACACGGACGCCAATCTTGGTCTTTCTTTGGTACCATGTGTAACGGCGAGGCCCAAGGACTATTAGATGGTCTGATGATACCAAGTTGCATCATGTGTTCAAATTCTCTCTTATCTGTCTGCAACTTTGTTGGTGGTAGTCTCCTCGCTCTGGCGCGAATGGGTGGTCCGGTGGTAGTGATGTGATGTTGCACATGTTGTGGATCGCATTCTTTTTGATAGTTCATTTTCGTGATGCATTCGTATTTTGTCAGTATGTCGTTGAAAACGTTGTTCGCAGGCTTCATTATTTGTACACCATGGATTCCATAGTCGTTGGAAGGCGTACCATCTACCTGTAAACGTGTATTTGCGTCGATTAATCTCTTCTTGGTCATATCTACTAACAAATTGTACGCACTGAGGAAATCGGCTCCGAGGATGGGTCGTTTGACTTGGGCAACTATGAAAACCCATGTAAATCTCCTGCGGAGTCAGAGGTCTACTATGAGTGATTGCTCTCCGTACGTTTTGATGATTGATTCGTTAGCCGCTATGAGAGACAGCTCGGTGCTTGTTGTTTGTTGTCTTCGGGAGAGATAAAGTGGGATAATGCTGATTTCGGCTCCTGTATCGACTAAAAAATCCGAGCCAGAAATACAATCCCTGATGTGAAAAAAGCGGCTAACGTGTTGGCCAGTAACAGACGCCGCCATTACTGTCTGGCCGGCTCGTTTCCCTGATGGTCTGGCTTGTTTGTCGTAAAGTTGCACGGTTTTGTGCAACGACGTGCTTTCTCTCCATAATCGAGTGATACCAACAAACGCCAGCTGCCCGTTTGGGTGACCTAAGGCGTTGTCTGGATACTGACCTTCTTTTGGACGTAAATCTAGCAGATCGAGGATGAATCGTTGCAATAGTCGCCCGAAGTGATGCTAACTGCCGCGTTAAGTGTGTTATCCGTTGACGAATGTTGAGGGCGTCACTCATATCTTCTCTACTGAAGGATTGTACCGCGTTAATTCCGCGACTATCGGGATATATTTTCATCATCTTATCAGCCATATCAGCTAAAACGTCAAGGGTGACAGAGGTTCTTGAAATACCGAGAATTTGTCAAACATTATGTGGTAACCTTTGTAACCACATTTGCTCAAGTAGTGCCTCGTCTAGTTTGTATGGGCCGGCTACCTGTCTCATGCGTCGGAGCAATTGTGAAGGTCTCTTATCCCCAAGTTCGCATGAGGTAAGCAGTTGTTGTAAACGTTTTTCGTCTGAGAGCGATGTGCGTTGGATTACTGCAGCTTTTATCTTGTCATAAGGGTCAGTTTCTGGTACGTTGTCGATCAGGTCACCGACTTTTGTTGCTACTTCTATAGGTAGTGCACCGACGACGTGGGCATATTTGGTCGCTTGCGAACGTATACACCTAGCCAAAAATAGTGCCTCAACATATGCAAACCAAATTCTAGGGTTGTTGACACCGTATGTTGGTAATCTTAATTCAGAAATAGCATTGATTGAGTCTAAAACATTATCTTCTGGCTGTGATGAATGAAGGGGGTTGGTTGGTGGGTGTAAGATCCATTTTGAATGTTTTGTGTTGGTGAAAATCCCTCCATGTATATACTTGTACTTTGTTCCTATTGATCCCCTTAGTTGTACACTGTTGTGTTTTGGTTACATTTGAATTGTTAATACTTGTATTTTTTATTATAGTTTTTGTTTTATTATGCATTCACTAAGTTTGTGTTTCTTCTTGAACTGCATCTGCGTTGTTTTACTTGACACTTGTTCTTGGCGGTAGCCATATTGATTTGTTCCTCCTGCTGTGTGTGATCTATCCAGTCAGGATAGAATAACGTTCATTTGTTGTGACTGATTTGATTGATTGAACAATCATTGGTTGAATAGCCGGGTGGTCATATTTGTTTAGGTAACGATTTACATTTAAATTTATGATGAATTATAGAACCGCTATTTACCCGATTACTTGTCTTGAGTTCGACGGGAAAGGGCGCGTGTCTAAAGTCTCTGGTCGGCTATTCTTCAATATCCAGACCGTAGTTTGGATTCTACAGTGGGCTATCTATATCAATAAGTTTACTAGGAGAGTGCATGGTGTGAAAAACAAAATGAACTAGTGTACCAAGTAAAAAAATATAAATAGTATACGTCTATGATAAACTAAAGGCTCACCAAATAATTGTGGTGGACCAGACAGATATGAACGCGAAAAGTGTCAACAAAGTTACTAAAGATCAATAGTAATATTAATAAATACCAGTTAATTGTTACAAATACAATACAAATTTGTGACGTTACTTAAATTGACCAAATGTTGCGTGTTCTGATTGGGTCCGGTATTGTAAATCCACAATTATAAATGCTTGATGATTCTGATCGGGTTGACGAAATCTCCAGTGATATAATCCAACGTAGAATGTGATATATTTCAATTACAGTCTATAAATAATGATAGTATTTGATTTAGACTTCAGTTAACTCAATCACAAACGAAGATAGAACGAGGAATGTGTGAGCAGTAGTGTAGTTGTTAGCCAGCAAGAGTATGTCATGCAATGTCAGTATCATAATGGAAAGTGTGTTCAAGGTCATTTACTAAAACAACAGTTGCAGTCATTTAATGTTAAATATACATACAGTGGAAGGTTGACAAAATAAATACAAATAACATTGAAAACTATTTACAAAATAAGCTTGTCAGGCCTGTCTCCATAATCTCATTAGTTTTACAGGACACGCCTTAGCTAAAAGCGCTCGGCCGAGCATCCGCGTACATCGAACTATGCATCTCTCCCAACAACTGGTCGCCTTATATTATGTATTTCTCGGCGTAGCGGTCACCCTCCCAACGTGTCTTCGAATTTCTTCGTTTCAGATTTCTGTTTCGGCTGACTTTAGGATTTATTGCTTGAAGAACAAAGTATTTGACTGAATGATAAATTTATTGATTACCATCACTTTCGCCGTCTAAGATGAGTTTGTTTCACCAAACTTTTGAACTTGTTTTTCAGAGGACTTAATCTCGGACATTTGTGACTAAGTAAACCATATTGCCAACAGACCGTGCCTTTAAATATAAATAAGTTCTGCAAATTACAGTGGGCAGAAATGCATTGTGTGACTTCAAAAGTATCCTTTAATAGCACACTTGTAGATACTGACTTACTAGAGTTCAAAAGAATAGATGAGAGTGGTAAACATTCCTAATCTAAGGTTAAATAACACTATACTGTTATTACACAACCTTCTTGTCTTTAATCTGATGGCTGTGCTGTAATGCTTGAGTGGCAAACTTGGAGAAAATCTAGAGTCTTGCCGCATAAATATTTTATTTAGGCACACGTAGAATAGAACGTTTTGAGAAACGACTGAGTACCACATACTTCAGTCTTATGGCATTCAGTCGTTAGTTTTCTTCAATCAGCTATGACATTAACGAGGTCCTACAACACAACTCATTAGCACTATTTTTTAACTTACCAATATTTCTTTCAATTCTGCCTCTCCCGTAAATTTAGGCGTTCCCTGAAGGGGTTAGTTACTCAGTACTACTAGACACGGAAACCCGTTGGACCCGTTCATAAATTCTTGAACAATATGATTAGACGTCCTGCATTTAAGTGTTTGCGTTACCTTTGTCTTCTAAAGGGACAATATGAAGAGCAATGTGCGTTTGCGAGTATCTGTTTCACAACACTCAAACTTACACCAGTTTGTTCTTGGCAAGGGGTATTAATCAGTGCTATCCTCTGGTTATGCAATTCATTTTCCATACTGAGTACCCAAGCTCCATATTTCGGTGAAATGGTACAAAACCAAAAATTTTCCCAGGTCTTGGGAAAACACCAAATTTTAAGAAAGGTTACGAATCATTATTTGACTTTGGAGAAAGTCCGAAGATTCCCCCAAAATCAAGAGGCAAATAAAATAAGGCGAGATTTTAGGAGTACACTATGGAAATTCCTTTGAAAAAGTCTGTGGTTATAGGTGACCATAATCAAATTGTAGCCTTAATTAACGCAAAAAGTTTTTCATCAGCTAAATTGCCTGGTCTCGGCTTTTCACTAAAGTCATATAAAAGTTCATATTATTCACCAGTCTCAAGAAATGTGGCGTAAGACCAGAAATGCGCTCGAGCGTTTCGGCGATTTCCTCAAAATAGCTTGCGCGTTTTGTGTACAACTCTAGACCGGGGAAAATTTTTGGGATTTATTCTTACTTCTTCAAGATCTTCTGTTGGGGTTTTTCTATGATTTCCCCATCGTTAAAATCCCCTGAAATTCGGGAGGTCGGCAATCTGGGGCAGCCAATGCGGATTTCCCCTCTAAATTTCCCTATTTAGGCGAAATATGTCGAAGTTATACCCTAACCCTCCTCAAAATTAAATTTAAGTTGTCTATTCTGTATCAATATTAACACGTCGAATTGTTAAGTTCGCTCGAAATTCGGCAGGATTGTATACCAAAACAATTACTTCAATAGACAAACTCGCTTACGTCCTAGGTATACTGCAGTACACTTAAGGCGTCTGTCTTTATTTTACCCAGGACAACCAAGTTTTCTACCCATTCGATACGATTCAAACGGTTGATTTATATGAGGTGAATAAGCTGTTAACAAGTTTTACATGAAGTTCTCAGTCGTATTTACGTTTGGGTGACAGTTAAGTGTTAGTATTGCAATTAACCCAAAAGATTGTCTTCAACCATGATCTAAAATAATGTAGTTAATGCTGATTTTATTAAACATGTGTTTATTAAGGCTTCTTAGTTAAAGTAAAATGCCAATGCTTACATATACTCTCACCTTTTCCCAAATACAGACAGATGATATCATCGTTTCAGCTGCTATCTCGATGTAAATCTCTGATCTAAGTGAACTCTGGCTTTAAATTGGGGTCAGAGTGGCTAAAATAAGAAGTGATATTGTTTCACAAAACGTCCAAATGTTGATATGTACCTTGCTAAATCTAAATTAGGCTGCTTAGTTTTGGTTTTGATAACCGGGAACTGAGTGGCGTCCTGATATATTTAGTATAACTGAATAATGCACTCGCTAGATAACAATCAATAACGTCATACTAATTGACTGGTCCCATTGTCAGTTTATTTCACTATTTTATTAGTTCTGTTTCTGTGTAATTCTTTAAAGAGTAACACTGAACAAACGGATGTGTTGCTTCAAGCTGACAAACTTCGTTCTATTTTTGTCATAATGACAATGCTTATTTCTCTATTATAGGAACCTCCATTTCCAAAAAAGTCTCAGATAATCGAACTGCCAACTGACGGGCCTACATGTTCACATGGTCCTATGTTAAAAATAGTTGATCAGACCTCCCGTTCGTTTCATTATGCTTGTTCGGCATTTCGTGATAAAAGTGAATGTGAGAAACAGGACTTGTACCAGAGTAGCACTTTAAGAAACTGGTCATCGGAAGATATTCTTGGGATAAGTCAGTCAGATAGAGCTATTGTTACACTTGTGATTGTTTGTTTTCATTGTCACTGAGTGGACAAAAGCATGAAGTGCACGAGTATAGGAAAAACTTATCAGATAATCTATTGGGAATGCCATCATACCTGCTAAAACCGCTGGAAAATTCTAAGGCTCATGCAGTACGTCTTGTATTTACTTACCCACAAGTCCTATAGCAATATTTTTTTTCTTTAGACACTTTGAATCGACTGTACTCTATCATTCAAAAACTTTCAGTAGACTATGTCATCTGTATTGGTTCACCACGTCTACATGACTTCATCCAACTTCAGCATATACATAGAGGACAATTATTAGACTCATATTTATTAGATATGGACATTCGGCTGGTAAATGCACATTTATTTTTTGATTTCTACAGTCTAGTTTCTATCATCCACATCGTTACTCACGATATAATATGGTAAACGGATTTTCTTCAGTCGAACGGAAGAAGAAAATTTTCATCATTTCATCAAAAATAATATAAAGCCTGATGATAAATGCTCCATATTTTGTGATCCTCCATTCTCTGCACCATTGTCATTAATTGTGAAGCAGATCAATTCAATAATACAGTATATTTCAAGCTTCCAAAGTACTGCAATATACGATAATTACACACTTTTAGTTACTAAAAATAATTGCAAGAGTTTAAATCAAAATGATATTCCATATCTGCTAGTCCTCCCGTTTTTCTTCGAGAAAAAGCTGCAAAAGATTGCCCCATTTTTAAACTTGCTGGATTATAAAGTAATCAACAGTGTTGCTAATACTATTACCCCTAAAGATCACTTATGAAAACCACTCAAGACTGGATTGTGATATCACTGATAATCGAAACCACAGGGATTTAACTAACAAAATTGGTGATCATTCAAATAGAGGACAGAGGCGCGACTCAATTGTTCGCTTGTTTACAAGTTTACTTCCTTCTTTGGTCCATCCACCTAAATCAACAGAGAAATGTTTCAGGTATTTCCTAGTTACTTAATGTATGTAGACTGAATGACATTTTTTGTGTTGTTGATTGTCAAAAGTGCAGACTGGATTATCGTAAGGACGCGACTTGGTACGTAAATGTTTCAGTTGAAGTCGCTTCGCTGTAGAAAAAATATGCAAAATTTGCGTACCAAGTGTAAATACAGGTACAGATAGATATAAGGTAGAACCGAGCAAACCATTAAGTTGTAGAAAATAAACCAATAGAATAAACATAAACAGTTATTGTTGTTTCTGTGTCACACTGTATTAATTTCATCATTACCTTTCATCTAGAGATCCCTGTAGTATCACTAGCCCTCACACATGTAAGGTGTAACTCAAACCGAGAACATTAAACTTCATCTTGTAATTGAGTTATATTCTTATTACTTCAGCTACAAGTTACGTCATCTAAGCACTACAGGTTAACCTGAAGACATCCAGATAAACGGTGAAATCTCGAGAGATCATGTGATTTTTTACTTGTTATAGCTTATTTTAAAAATGAGGAGAGAGCAATTTTGATGAGCATCATACCAAGTGATTCCCCGTTGTAGTATCTGGCGTGGCTACCAGAGTATAGGTCTGTGTATCCGACTCTGAGCCACAATATTCTATCCTATGGCTACAATACTTGAATGCTCAAAATGAAATCTGTTTTGTTCAAATCCTCAGTAACTTAACGAAGTTTTTTGATACATCTCCCAGTAGCATACTACTGTAGATGCCTTTGAGGTAAGTATTGCAAGTACAACTTGACGAAAACAATCATATGTACGTTACGAAACGTGATGTAAAGTGAAAGTTTAATTAAAATACTCATAACCAACAAGTGTAGAATACTCATAACCAGTCTTAATATGTCTTATTTCCCGAGATTCTCTCCTCCCGAAATGCAGTTAGTCGTTCCATGTTTATTTAGTCTCAGACTATATATATATATATCTGGTTTCTGTATGGTTGTCATCGGAGGATTTCTGTTCATTATTACAAACAAAAACGACCACCCAATTAGGGTTAAATGTGAATATATTTGTATCAGTGGAGAAATGATCAAAAATGCAAGTCCATTCCCGAAGTTTAACTAAAAAATCCTCAGCGATTCAAAGAATAATCCATTAGCTTTGGTTTCCTGTGTCTTCATGAGTTTATGGTTGAGAATTAATCGGTAGATAACACTATCAATTGTCAAACCAGAAAAAAACGATTATACAATACTCCTTAACACTAAATTTTTCTTTGTTATAAACTCATATTATGGTTTCAAGTACAATGATTTATTCTTGACATTTAGGTTTTGTGAAATTTGTCAACGTTATTCGCACATAACAAATCTACACTGTCCTAAATGTGGTCGTTGCACAACTAAAGTGAGTTTTATCCAAGAACACTGTCCAATATTACTATAACATAAATAACTGTTTAATGACCTGGTAATATTTAAGCATCTGAATAAGTATACACATCTTTTTCCACTTCTTCCTTAAAGTTAACAGACCCCAAATGGTTTCACACGGAGAAATATCTGTTCATATTTTTCCATACTGTTCTTCGAACAGTGTCCATAACTTTTACTTCTTTCATACAATTACTTGTAATCACAATTTTGCTCACTAAAGTATCACTACCATAAAATTTTGCTGATTTTTAATGTTAATGTATCAGGATTCTATGTAAAAGGTTATCTGATATTTTCAAATAGTGGGGCAGTGACTCAATGGCTAAGCGTTTAAGTTTCATCCACTAATTTCCAAGTATGAACTCCACTCCTCCCACTTCAGTTTGGGTAGTATCACTAGCTACTACACCTTGAGTTTGGCTCGTACCCAAGTACCAGGTGAATAGATTATTTATCTAATTTCCAAATAATACTCTCTTCATTTTCCACTGAAAAATATTGATAGTGCATTAGTATACCATAATCTTGCCTTAGTTCTCAGTCGTTTAGTCTCTATAGCAGAATTAATTATTTTACGGATAGGTGGCCAATGTTTTTAAAATATTTAGTAAGTAATTCCTATCAACTTCAAAATAAAAATATAGTATTTATATGAATATTTTCCATTTCAATATCCTAATCTAGCATGGACCAACCTATGTACACTGTGATAAATGTAATCGTTGTAGACCTGCAAAGAAATTTCATTGCGATCAATGTAAACATTGTGTATCTATCAATCAATGCGTTCATCAATCCAAACGCAAAAAGCTCTCTTACAATACATCTGATAATTTGTAATCTGTAAATTAATATTTATTCAATAAAATATTTTCTACTTTGAAATCATTAATTTTTTTTAATGGAAATATTATGTTTGATTTCATTGGTCATGTATGTTGACCGACATTTGCACATACACTCATTAGGCTAGCTTGTGTTTGATAAGGATTTGTTGTCGTTATTTTGCTTCTGTGTTCTTTCTTTGTAATTGATACTCGAATAAGGATTGACTTACAACTATATATGTACAAGAATGGTTAGATCTTTGTTTTGTTTCTTAGTTGGTGTATTAGCATTGGATTGGCATTAAAATGTTCCTTAGTGAACTTTTACGACAATGTATAATCATAACTAAACTAATATATAAGAATGGCGGGTATTTCACCCAAAATGGAATAATGCATGATAATTTATTATAAATTTACTTTTAAGTGACCCTGTTAAGTCATAATATGCTTTGATTAGTTACTGTATAAACAAAGGCATGAGTTTTTTTATATGGAATTGTTCTTAAAATGTTGCTTTTGGGTAATAAGAAGAGTTATCTTCAAGAAGAAAATTTCTATCAGACTTTACCCAATTTTAAGTATAGCTTGACTATCATTTTCTTGTTGTTACGCGTAGCATTACACAAATATTCGCATTACCGAATGATTGTTTGTATACTTGGTCCGCTAATTTTTATCTAGTTTTGCTGAGTCTTATAAGCTTAGTTAGCCTAGTAGCATCTCTTTAAGTGGTTCCGTTAGCCATTTGTATTAGTCCCAGCAGTAGTGAGGGTTAAATTTGATTATGTAGACTACTTCATTTATCTGGTGCGCTGCGTTATTAGTTATAGAACATTATGTTACACATTTTACAACATTCTGAAGTGAAATCCCATAAGAAAGCTTTGTATACGTAGTTCTCCGTTTATTTCATTATGTACGATTTTTAGAAAGCAATCAAGGGAAAGTTATTGGTTTGGAACAGTAATATTTCATATAAGATGTACGTAGGTATTCTATCATCATCCCATGTACTTCTATTTCATACACAAATATTTTATTTTTCGGCTGTTAAGCTTTCGCGGTGTTAGTTTTAAAACGTTTTTGATTTCCTTTCAATCCGCTGTTATTAAAATTCTTACCCTTCTGTAGTTCGAATTAACTATGATATTATCATACAGTGCATGTAGATGCAGTCATATCGCTCTTTCCCTTTTAAATATTATACCGTCGAGTATTGGTTTACACTTTACCTTAAAGTAGTTTTAGGTACTAGTTCAATTAGTTTGAGAAACAAGAGGCTGCCATTCATGAATCCATTGCTTGAACGTCCTGATGACATAAATAATAGTAATGGTGTACAGGCGAGACTATAATTTATGGGCGAGCCAATAAGATTTAAAATAGCAAACCTTGAATTTCGACGAGCGATTCATTTATCCATATGGATAAACAGCATTTTGGCATTGTAGCTGAAGTGAGTTCGTGAAGAGAACTGTAACTCTAATTCATAACCCTAATTTCTAATCGCTCACATTAATGTACAACCTTCATTTAACCCTAGTAAGTAGATGGATATTCTTAAGGCCACCTAAGCCTCGCTCAAAGATCGTCCATAGGTTATAGGTTCGCTTGACGTACCTGTTTTATTTTGAGATTTGTTCAATTCAGTCTACGGTAATCGCCAGTAATGGACAATCGAGGTTATTCTTATACGAACGGAATCTGTGAAGAACTTGATAAGGTAGCAACTGACTCACAAAACTCTAACGATAATCCCATTGATGGAACCCATAAAGAAGACAGCAGTATAAATGAAAACCTGATGTTTAACAAAGATGACTATATATGCAACAACTAAATAGAACTTTGGAATAAACAAATTAGCTAACTTAAAGTAGTAATAATGAGTCGGAAACTAGTCAAGATCGTACAGCAACACAAATTAGGAAACTTGTGATATCTATTGTTGTCACAAAAATGAACGAACATTTATTCACAAAAATTAGATGACCTGGATTTTTCCTAGCAGTAGCTTGTTTATTAAGTGTAGGCTTGTGTATATATTTGTTGAGTCACACTATTTTTATAAGTTAACAGTACTAATGAGCTGCTCAAACAGAACTAAGTTGGGATAGAGTTTGAATCTATCACTTAAAGGCTAAAAGTTGAACGTTTTACCTCCCCTCCCACTAATTGCTAAGCTTTGATCTTAGTTCAAATATTTATTTTTCATTAATCCCAAATCTACTTGTATTTTTAGTTAGGTTAATTGTACTTTTTATTTCTTTTATTTGTTTTTTAGGTTCCGTCATCCTACATCTTCCATGAGATCCTTGTACTTTAAATTTAGGAAAAAATGACCAACTGGATTATCTTGTTGATCTTTATTCATTCTAATTGTGATTAAAGCGTATATTCTCTGTTGTTGTTGTTGGGTGTATGGTCGTGGTAGTATTTTGTTATTAAGTTTAACAAATTCCCTAATGATGCTAACAAATGTTAATGGTTCTTATTGTTTTAAATATTTTCTTATATGTTTTATCATTTTCTCAATGATAGTTTATTATTATTATTATAATAACAATTTTAATTCATTGTATGATATAATGATTATTTCAAATGAAGAATATACAAGAAAATTTCAACAATCATATTATCAATTACCTTTGTATGTGAATAAACATTGTACATATTCTACATGTTTCAATATTAGTAATTGTGTTCGTGAAATTATTGACAAATCATTACATAATATTAGAATTTATATTTATCCTTTAAATGATAGTTTAATGTTTACAAGTTTTAGTCAACAATTTATTTCCTTATATAATACCATTATATCTAGTAAATATTATGTGAATCAAATTGAAGAAGCATGTATTATTATCCCAGGATTAGATTTATTATATGCTTATCCAGATGATAATCAAATGATCGATTTATCTATGCGTTATTTACATCATCTGCCAAGGTTTGTCTTCTTTTTCTTTTCGGTTTATCATTATATCAGAAGGGGTTTTGTGGAGATTTTAGTCATTTCAATAGTTGAAATCATGAGTCAATTGAAGCTGGACCACCATGGAAAACGGCCGTCCAGTGCTTCCAGGTTTTCCATAGTGGTCTAGCTTCAATTGACTCATGATTTCAACTATTGAAATTATCATTATATGTAAAAAATATTTGAGATAATTAAAGAGATTGAAATCCATATAGTTTCAGTGTTTAACATGTCAACTGCTGGTTTGAGCTTTTTGAGTAAAGTAATCAAAGTGTATGTGCATTGAGTTTAGTCATTGTATCAACTCGCTCGTTTTACTATTGCGTTAAATATTTTGATTTAAATAAATAGATTTGGATCATAACAAAGTGAATTTTGTTTATTTCTCTAAAGAAGCTCTGAATGAAACACTGCAATCATTGAAACTCTATCAAATATAACGCCTTCCATATTATCAGCACAGAATTTTTGTCAGAATTTTCGTTGAAATGTTAACAAATATTCATAGAAATTATCATAATCATTTTTGTGTCTTTATTTTGTTTGTTTCATTTACTCAAGCTGGAACGAAGGGAAAAATCATTTAATTATTAATTTTCTTTCAAATGAAAAATTAAAATATACAGCTTCAGCTGTTGTTGCCAGTGCTAGTCATACAAGTTTAACGTTCAGATCGAAATTTGATATAGTTCTACCGGCATTTAATCCATTGACTGCTGTAGTGAATCAACGTATTCATGAGAGGTAATAATAATATGGAATGAATGAATTTTTTCTTTATGTAGCCTGAATATGTAGTGTTTTTTTTAAAAGATCTAAAGTATAGTGTGACTTATCAACATAGTGTTGCGGAGATTGTTGAATTCTATAAAAATCACGAACCAATCGATTTTAGACCACCATTTGTATTTCCGGATTCACTGGACGACTGTTTCATCCTAACATGGAACTTCTAAGCAGTGTGTATCCACAACCTCACATTCGCGAATCGAACCTAGGATCCTCGAACTCGCACGCGGACGCTTAATCTCTTGATCACTGTTCACGGCTCCTCAACTGCGTCAAGTGTGAGGCAGTTATTCACCGAAGACATTTAAAGATGGTAGATCAATATCGTGTATTCAATAAACATTAGCACCGTTGGATGGTGACTCACTGGTCTATAGGTTAAGTGTTCGTACGCGAGACCGAAGATCGCGGACTCGTGTATGCTCGCTACTGGAGAGTTCCATACTAGGATGAAACGGATATCCAGTGCTTCCAGGTTTTCAAGGGTGGTCTAACATTGATCGGCTCGTGATTTCATTGTAGTTCTAATATTTCACTGTTGTTTTCATAGAATTCAATGTATATCGATCGTTTAATCATAATTAAGAAATTGAAAAATTGCTCCGTTTGACTGTGTTGTTATGATTCGACATTTCTCAGAAATCCACACATCTATTCACTTACATTAACATCTTGCTAATATAATTCAGTCCCATTAGATATTAATGATGTTTTGCAGTTAACGACTTGCGAAACAGAATAAAATACCTGCACTCTCTGTTTATTTCTAAGTGCTACATTGTTTCGTGTTAGAATCGTCAAGCTAAATCGTGTTCCTCTGAAAAATCACTATAGATTCTCTAATATTTTTTGCCAATGTATATCACTACTAACCAGTTATTCTATTAAGTGAAATTCTTTATGCTTACAGTTACGTTGTTTACTAACTATTAAATTTGCTGTTAAAGTTGTACACGAAGTAGGCGCTGAAGAGGTTGTCCAGCAGGACAATGAAAGCTCAGCAATTAAGCCATCTAGCTCTGAGAACTCAACACTACCTAAAGCTCTTCAATGTATTTGTTATTTTATTCTTCATAGTATTTCTCATGAATTTCTCTGAGTTATGTGAATTCACCTAAGAATTTGTTAGAAATATTTACCTTTTATGTATTGTGTTCACACTTATACATTAGTCAACTTACTACTTAGAATAAATCGTTTTCAGCGAATGTATCCCATATTGTGTTTCATTTTATATACTAATAAGCGGTAACTTAGCGGTTAATACACTTGGCCTTCAGTCACTGGGTTACAGTTTTGAATTATGTTTCTTCGGCAACTGGATAGTATTGTTAGCTTTTACACAGAAAGTGTGGTTGAAAACCGATAACACCTACCTGTGCATCATCTTACTCAGCTTATAATTTTATCGGATGGTAATTCTAATAAGTTAAGGCAAACCGCATATTTGACGAGTAACTGTTCTTCATGTAACAACTTTGATGTTTTGTTTGACTATGTTGAACAATGCTATGTCTCCAAAAACTACCAAAATCAACTAAGGAAGAGTTCTTGCTAGACCACGCGCGTACTTTTAAATTAAGTGCCATAAAGTTCACATCCTGAATAACTATTTCTCAATAATACGCCAAAAAATACATAAGTACTCATGAATTTTCTGCTTATCATCGTCGGTCGGAGAGGGGAACAAATCTTCTGTTTCTTTTTGTGTTTTGAGTAGTTAGGGGCTAGATCAAGAGTCGTAGGAGCTTAGCACAAGCTTAAGTTCATTTAAATTCAGTTCACTCATTGTATCAACTCTCGTACTCACCAATACGTTGATATTTTGATTTGTGTAGCTAGATTCGAGCCATAATAAACTGTCAACATTTGTGATTAATTATTTTTGCTAAACAAAGCTCTATGAAGCTGATCGGCTACAGTTAGGAACTGGGACGAAAAGTTTATTCTCTTGAGTTTGTTAGTCAAAAGTTTGTAGTTGAACTAGTTTACCTCATCTACTCCCTTGACACAACACACGTCGTTTAACTTGGAAAAATATCGAGATGTTTATTTTTCACTGATTCTAAAGTATCAGTCAGTGTTATCTGGCTGTTAAAAGTTAAATTGTGTCGGTAAATAAAATGTGAAGTGTTTTCATTTTTCAATAGCAAACTACACAACTGATTACTTTGGTCATCTCAAGAAAAATTACGTATCCCTTATAACGGCAACAGATTACGGATTACTTATTTAGAGGATTGTTTATTTAACACTAAGTTTAAAATTAAATTGTCGTCCGTTAATTTTTAAGTATCTCTGAATACATCAGCTGTAATAATTGCTTTCCATTGTCTCTTATTTTTCTTATTAAAAACCCCGGTCAGACGTACTATTTTTTTAATTGTTTTCCAATCAACTGATCAAAATTTGATCTACCAAGTGCAATACCTCCTATTAGATTCTCGCACGTCAAATTCAAATTTAGTGCGCCCCATACTTGTTCTAGACTCTTCATCAAACCAATCTAATACAACCTATAATCAACGTTTTGTGCTAGTATCTGAATCACCATATCGTCAAGGTGTGGAAAAATGGATAGACTATTCGGAATCATTGTGTTCTAGTGAATTTTGTTTGATCATTGATGCGGACAATTTAAACCGTTTTAATTTGTATGATAGTCTAGCTTGTGGTTGTATCCCGGTGATTGTCAATGATGATATTGTTTTACCTTTCTCAGAAGTTCTTGATTGGTATAAGTAAGTTGATTAATTTTTAAAACCTAATTCCTAACTTGAAACCTGAATCATGTGCCAAAGGGCACCTCAAATTTTTAATGTTTTAAATATTGTATTGTTAATTATTAGTTGGGAGTTAAATGGTGTTATTTATCGATAATGAATGTTCCTTATGCTCAAGTTGAATACCTTATTAGTAGATTATCAGGTTACTCTTGTAACTATGTTCTAACCTCTAACTTCTCGTCAATAAATGCCTGGTTATTACGCTTATCTCGCGGGGTGCGGGATCGTGGATGCGCACTACTGAGGAGTCCCATACTAGGACGAAATGTCCGTCCAGTGCTTCTAGGTTTTCCGTGGTGGTCTAGCTTCAATTGGCTCATGATTTCAATCAGTGAAATTTCTAAAATCTCCACATAACCCCTTCTGATATTACGCTTATTGTGAATTCAAAAAATTTGTATGATTTCTTATTGCGAGATTCACCACTTTTTGTCTCTATCAAACTAAACTTTAACACAAACTAATAATATATTATGGGGCTATCAAATAAGTAGAAGTCCTATTTACTCACCTCCCTCTGGAGTACCATGCTTTGTATATGTAACCCGAGAGACAACTTAACAGTAATTTATTATCTTATTAGGTATCTCTGAATACTCTAGCTGGAACTACTATTCCATATCTATTTAAGTTTTTATGCTCTGATATTGAAACAGACTATGTTCATCTAAATTAAGTTATGAATGTCATTATCTATTATTTGCATGGTTTTATCTAACTAGGTCTATAAGATTTTTCAATCGACATAATTTATCTCATCAATGTAACACTGAAATTTTTGAATTCTTCATTAGTTAGTTTTCTTAATATTAGATTTCAAATTACCATATTTTTTGTAACGCTTTATGAGTGGATGTGTTATAACTGTTGGCCTGTGTGCCCTGTTAATGTATAATGCAAAGATACCGTCAATTAGAAGGCAGTGAATTATCTATCGGACGCGTAAAACCCGTACGAGCAGTCTAGGGTCCTTATTGGTCCTGCTTCCTGCCTAGCCCAGCCAGTTAAGTCCAGAACTCCAGTCTCAGCCTCTGCAATATGAATCATTTATTTCAAGCATACTGAGTCTATATACCAACCTGACAGATCACATCGTACCATAAATATAAAGCAACATTTTTACAAGACATAGCCAAAAGTGGCTGCGAGTTTTGTAGGTAGTAATGAATAGACAGGGAATAATTCAAGAATGGTAAATCGTAGAATCATAGTTCATAGGACAAAATAAAGCTCATAATAAGAGGGACATGAATATAAGCAGATTAGTTACATAACAATTACACGATAAGAATATACGTATAGTATTGGTCCATAAATGGATCCCAAAAGTTACCATTTATTATGCTTATCGGAACATAACAGAATGAATGAAATTAAGAAAAATAATGTTTCTTTGATATTTAGTCTTTTTTATTTAGGTTTTCTAATTTGTTGGGGTCAACAAGTTAATTTGAGTTGCTATAAAATATCACAATGCATATAGACTTAAATAAGAGTGAATAATTTAGAGAAAAGTTCAACGATTATTATCTTAAATGTGTTATCTAAGTTTAATTCCGATACTTGTAAAAAGTTAAACCAAAATATGATACATTAATTTGTAAAATAGAATTAGTCTTTTTGATTGAATACATTATTCTATGAAATATTATAAGTTTCATTGTCTCTATGCAAAGAATTTGGGTACTTGACAATTTGTTAAGCATCGATTTTACGAAATTTGTATTAGTGTGTTTTCGAGAAGTTAGACAGATAACCGTAATTCATTTGGTCATTTTTATTACTTCAATATTAACTGATCTCATACGTATCTGTGAAATGAGGCATTCAATCTTTGATAAAAAATTTCAAAATCTGTTAGGTATATTAGTTTAGGTTAAAAATTTCTCTTTATCTGTCCACCTTTTTCTCAAATATCAAACAAAACAAAACCAATATAGTCTCTAGTCTCATTCTCAACTATTTAATTTCAAATTGAAGACAATCCATTCAGTAATATACCCTCTTAATGATGCTACTAATTAGATTCGCTCTACATGAAGATTAAAGTGATGCAAATTCGTATAAACTTCTGTTATTGAAGCAGCTATTGCCTTACCTTTTCTTTTAAATAGGATTTCGGTTACTCGTTGCAACTCTACAACCATTTTGCCAACATAAATGTTATATAGAAGTTCAAATTCCTATGGGAGTAAGGATTAAAAACCTCTAATTGCCAGGCAGGTGCTCTTTGAAATCTTCTGACAGTGATTTTTCAAAGTCTCAGGCGATGAAAACGCTACTAGTAACAAGACAATTTGAAACACATTTTCAGTGTAGGTAACCATGTTCGAAACAAATTAACTCATAGTGATTAGATTAATGTTGCTCGAAATAAAGTAAACTGGTAAATATTCCCACAAATTATTGTCATTTTTATTTCTGTTCAAGCACTAATTAACAGTAACTTCGTTTTTAATGTCATTGGACGATAGTTGACATTGGTGCTATATGGAGGGGTGAAGAGATTTCACTACTAATAAAATAGTTCTATTCCTTTATTCAGAAAAACCTTTACCCACGCAAATTCATTTTTAAAAAGTGCTTATTAATTTTACCACTAAGCAAGAAAGCTATTAAGGAAGCCGAAAAATCGACTATTTTATCACGTATAAATGACTTAATAGAGAATCCCATCAAGTTATTTAGACGATTGCAAGTGAATGTGACGTACAAACCAACAAAAGCACTTGAATGAATGTTGTGTAAGCTGAATAACCCATTGATAATATATAATATGTCAAACATCATCTACTTGATAAACTGTTTTAGCTGTAAAATCACTACATCAGTCAAAGTAACCATCCTACTTCTCTTCATTTACATGAACACTAATTAGTTGGAATGGAACTTAACTAAAATCTTCAACCACAAACCTTCCCCATTATTATTGGAATATAAACCTGGGCAGAACATTTCATTTGTGATCATTTTAATTGGTCGAAACTATCATTCTAAATGTTTTAGGATAAATCCAGTTTTTTTTAAAAAAATGCAAAATTGTTATACTTGAAATAGTCTTTTAAAATCTTTATTTCTCTACCATAAATAAATTAGAATTGCTATTCATATTCCACAAGTTAAATTTCAAAAGATTCCATCCATCTTATCAACATATTCATCAAAAGAAAAATCTCTCCTTCGAAAACAGATAATGTTTATTTATCAACGTTATTTTCATCAATAGAGAAAATTATATTGACCACTTTGGACATATTAAATGATCGTGTATTTCCTCAATATTCACGGTCTTATGCTGAATGGAATTATCCTAATTATTCTAAGGTGATTATTCATTTATTTTAATATTAACATTAATTTTTTTCCCTAATTTACTAGTTTTCTTTGCTAATTTTAAAGCAACAAAAGGAACATTTTATATGATTAGGTAAAATAAAGTCAGTTCAGCAACAAAAAAAAACAGTTTCCCTTCAACGATATCATTTGTCAGAGTAGTACAATACACTAAAAGTATCAGACAGTTGTCATTACTCATATTCTAAGCTATAATTTATTTATTTATTTATTTATTTGAACACATAAATATTGGTACAAGAGGGCACCAAATCTATATGCGCCACACAAAACAATGAGAATTCGAAGAGAAAAAAAAGAGAACAATGAAGAACAGACTAGTGTAAGGTAATGCAATAATAATAGTAATAATGGGGGAAACGGAAAGGTACAATCAGAAGAAATCTTTCAGTTAAGGAAGATACAACCGTTTTTTTTATGAAGAAAGTAAAAGAAGGTTATAGCAGGATCGCCACTGGCTTCCATTCTGAGCCATATCTGATAACGTCTCTAGCCACTGTGTTGCACCATCTCTAGGACCCCAACCAGGGAGTCGTGAAGGACCAACACGGGCCAGCCCTTTGCAGCTTTTTTTCATACCACGACACCATGTCATACACTGACCACCTCTCCGCATTTTCCAACCAGTCCCAGCATCGGTAAATAATGCACGACGTGGAATTCTCTGGGACGACATTCGGAGAACATGTCCAAGCCACCGAAGTCGGTGTTTCAAGATGGTGACACCAATTGGATTATCATCTGTGTGGCCGAACACACGATGCCGAACCTCTGCATTACTAACATAGTGTTGCCACTGGATGTCAGCAATCCTTCGGAGACAACGATGACCAAACACAGAGAGTCGTCTAACATCCTCAACTCGATGAGGCCATGTTTTACGAGCATAGAGCAGAACTGCTCTCACCGACGCGTTGTAGACCCGACCTTTTACAGTCAGACTGACATCACGAAGGCGCCAAAGATGACCCAGATTGGCATAAGCCGCTCTGGCTTTCACCATACTTGCATTGATCTCATCACTCACGCCATCACCAGCACTTATGCAGCTACCTAGATACACGAACTTATCGACTACTTCTATCTGTTCACCATCCAGGGTGAGTACAGGATCAGGGTCCTACCAGCCTTGTAAAAGTACTTTGCACTTAGAAGATGCGCAGCACATACCGTACCTACGGACACTAATTGCCAACTGATCAAGTGCGGATTGCATGGCTTGGCCGTTATCGCACAGTAAAACAGTATCATCCGCATACTCAAGGTCGAGAAGTCTTTCTCCTGGCAACAGATCCACACCGCCATTACTTACATCCATCAGAGCTATAAGTATTCTCAGTTATCATAATTACCATTCAACTATGTCATTAAATATTTTTTTTCTTATTTGCTTTCAATTTGTTGCATAAATATTTCACATCAGATCTTGTTAAAGTAATGTTAGACATCTTTTCATTAACATTTATCAATAGTTTCTTTATGACATTCTGTCCCACTTGGTGTATTAATTCAGTAAATAGAAATTAATATTAAAAATTTGAGGACTAAAGGTAATTTATATGTTGAAAAAATTTGTTGGCCAATATCAACGATGTTGTTCAGATATGTGTAGTATTCGTGCAGCCTCAGTTTATTTTGACACTGTGTTTTATTGGCTAGTTACAGAATGTTGTAGTTTATAATTAAACATTATTAACGAGCAAGCAAGTTTTTGGATTGGAGGATCTTGTTAGTGCAAAATTCTCTGAACTGGATATTCTTTGTTGTTAAGATTTTATTTTCGCACAAAATAATCCCATTTTTAAAAAAAAATGGTAAACATATCTTTATAGGTGACTTGGTAGTTTATCCTAGTGACCAAATTGTGTGATTATATGTTTAATAATTTTTATTACTACGTTCGTTCTTCAGTAAGTCACAAAGACCAATTATAAGTATAACTCCTCCTTTCAAAATTGGTATGTAATTAGACAGTATTCAACAGTAGACTTACCATTTCTGTGTTCTAAGATTTGTTATTATTTTCAGCTAGCACCATATTGTAACATGCTTCGTTCTAGTTCGATAGCGCTTTACATATGCTTATAATGAACAAATGTTAGTGAGTTTTCATTCGTTTTTATTTTGAAGGGAAAAATTATCTCTAACTAACCTCCATTACTAGTAAATATACTATGTCCTCGGCAAATTTAATACTGGTTCCCAAGCAGTACATTGATAGTTAAATGACACTTGGTTCTCAATTACTGAGCTCGAATACCGCTCCATCTGGTTAAGTTTGACTAATTAGGTAATGCCATTTGTGTTTACTCGAAATAGTGCAATTCAAAGTTGCTGAATACATGAACGTGTACTTAATTACTGACTTATTCAATTTTAATCTTTAATCGCAAGCTAACGGTAGATAGAACATTACAAACCAGAAGGCGTTAAACTGTCTCTTTCCACTTTGCTTAACTGTTAGCATCCACCACCTTACACGGGATTGAATCCGTAACTTTCAGGTGTTACCATAATCATAACTCGTTTCCGCCACTAAAATCGAGTGTTCAGCATTTTCCAACGTCAATCGACTTAAGATTTAGAGTTATTGTCATTCTATATCGTCTTTGAGCTGCTATCTAACTTTTGTCTTCGTTGAGTCGATGGTTCACAACCTCTTATGAAAATCTCAGGAAATCCGTGTCGAATTCGGTTTCTTGTAGGTACACAATTATTTGTTTAAGGGATTCTATAGAGACTGTATAGTTTGTAGGTTATTTTAATTGTGGATGTTATTTATTCCTGTATATCAAATGTTTTTCCCAATCTTCCCATTTCAGGTTGGACTACCTATATCTCCAGTATTATTTTACCCTGCTAAAGCTTTTACACGTACTGGATTTACTGCTCTCATTCGAGCTCATAATCATTTCACAATACTTTGTATTTTGTTAAAATCGATTCAGTCTGTAAAATCCTTGAGACGGATTGTTGTTGTATGGACAAATAAAATATATCCAGTTCCTGATTGTAAGTTTTGATTAATTACATATATTCTCCGTTTAGTGTTTTGACAACTGTAGTACTATATATATTTTATGCTCATTCTGAAATATTTAACGGAACAACATTTGTAAATAAGTGTGACACATTGATCATCAGGATGTCCCCTTACTGGATTCAGAACTGTTAGAACTAAGTGGACATTGAGGTGGGGGGATGTTGGAACTTTTAAAATTATTGTATGATGAGTTATTATCTCCATTTTTACTATACAATTAGTAATTAATTCATTTATAGTCTTTTAAGTTGTCCTGTTTATAAGCTAGTAAGGTAAACCAGAAGGTTAGGGAGCAACACTGGATCTCAGCAGCATCTATCTCACTGATAGATGCTCGGAAACACATTCCACCTGGCTCTGAACATAATGAAGAGCGGAGTCAGCTTAAGCGCAAGCTGACAAGAAGTCTACGCAATGATCGCGAACAGTGGTGGGTAGCGAAAGCAAGAGAGATGGAAAAGGCAGCGGCAATAGGTAATAGCAGACAATTGTTCAGACTCGTTAAGGAAACCGGAATTAGGAACCCGACCGTTAGCGAAACAATCTCAGAGAAAGATGGACATATTATTCATTCTCAATCCAGGAGATTGGATCGATGGGCAGAACACTTTAGGGATCAGTTCAACTGGCCTTCAGCCACACTTCGGTTTCCCACGATCTCCAGTCAACCTGAATGGCAAGTTAATGTAGGTCCTCCGTCCCTTTACGAAGTTGAAAAAGCCATAGGAAATCTGAAACGAGGGAGAGCAGCAGGCCCTGACAGGTTTACTCCTGAGATTTTTAAGGATGGTGGTCCAGTATTAGCAATGAGATTAACCGAGGTCTTAGGTAGAATTTGGGAACTGGACGTAATCCCATCTGACTGGTCTCAATCACTGATTGTGCCAGTTTTTAAGAAAGGACAAAAGTCCTCTTGTGACAATCACAGAGGAATCAGTTTGACTAATATAGTGTCTAAAATATTAGCTTCAATAATACTTCGACGCCTAACTAAAGCTCGTGAAGAGCAGACTAGAGAAAACCAGGCTGGTTTTCGACCTGGACGTGGTTGTATAGATCAGATATTCACACTACGTCAGGTTCTAGAACACAGACACACATTCAGACGCCCCACAATGGTAGTATTTCTCGACCTTAAGGCGGCATTCGACTCGATTGATCGTGAGGTTCTATGGCAGTGTTTGTCACTGAAAGGAGTACCAAAGAAGTACATTAACCTTATAAAGGCTCTCTACTCGAACACAACTGGTCGAGTGAGAGCTTATGGCGAACTGTCATCAGAATTGATTACCTCAAGTGGTGTTCGTCAGGGCTGTCCACTCTCCCCATTCTTGTTCAACTTTGTCATTGACGTACTTTTAGAGATAACACTCTCCTCATCTAAATTTACAGGGGTTGAACTTCTACCAGGAGGTTCACTTGTTGACTTAGAATATGCTGATGACATCGTTTTATTTGGTGAAGACACTGACAAAATGCAGAGTCTTCTGGCCACTCTAAGCAACAATGCAAGCATGTTCGGGATGCGATTCTCTCCCTCGAAATGCAAAATGTTGCTTCAGGATTGGGTTACATCGACACCCGAACTAGTGATAGGGAGTGAAGTAGTTGAGTGTGTCGACCGCTTCACTTATCTTGGAAGTCTCATCAGCCCTTGTGGTTTAGTGTGTGACGAAATCTCAGCACGGATACAGAAGGCTCGACTAGCTTTTGCCAACTTGCGTCATTTATGGCGTAGGCGAGATATCCGTCTATCAACCAAAGGACGTGTTTACTGCGCAGCAGTTCGTTCCGTCCTACTTTATGGGAGTGAAACATGGCCGGTAAGAGTAGAGGATATCCGTAGGTTACTAGTATTTGATCATAGGTGTCTTCGAAACATTGCTCATATATCATGGGACCATCGAGTAAGTAACACAGTTGTTAGGAAACGGGTACTAGGTAAGGATGGCAAATCAATTGATGAAGTAGTGAAACTTCATCAGTTGAGATGGCTGGGACACGTGTTACGTATGCCCAACGACCGACTGCCTCGACGTGCTATGTTCAGTGGTATAGGAGTAGGTTGGAAGAAAGCTAGGGGCGGCCAAACCAAAACATGGCACAAGTCCATGAAGTCACTGACAAGTGAACTGAGTCATGTTGGTAGGTGTAGACTACCTGGTTGGGGACCGCGAGATGATAGCAACCGATGGTTAGAGACCCTGAATGACATGGCTCAAAATCGTTTGCAATGGCGCAGGTGCATCCACTCTCTGTGTTCTCCCAAATTCTAATCTTCTGAATTCTTCATGTCCCTCTTTTTTCCTCTTTCCAAATTTATTTCACTGGATTATACTCTTTAAATAACATCTCCAAACCCTAATCTTCCCGATTACTGCTTATACTCTTATTACCTCTACCACTACGGGATTTGAATCGACAACTGCATCTCTGTGCTAATGTGGTGTGGCAACTCGAACTGATGTACGTACGTACGAAGTTCTACGTTGTTACTGACTGACTGACTGACTGACTGTTTATAAGCTTCCGTTCAGTATATTATCTATATACGTTTAACTATTCCTAAATTATCGCTAATTAAATATCCCTCTCTTACTCCATTCTTTTTCACTCATGACTTAGTTGTGTATAAACTAAGACTTCTTATTTATTGTGTGTTGTGGTCAGGTAATAAATGTACATAGTCATCTAAGTGTTCAATGTACAATAGTAGGGGTACTGTTTGTTTATTGTGTTTCGAATTCTGGCGGATATAGCGAAGCTGCGTTCCGAACCAATAGGAATATGAACAATTGCGGTCACTACTCAGGGCTATTTTTAATTGTTTGAAACATGTCATCGGGTACATTTGAAGGTCAGTGATCTAATAAAAATGAAGCGTCTTTGTATTATTCCACTCTATCTAATAATTTGATCGAGGATCGCATAAGAAAATTGGATGTCACAGAAAGAACAGTTTTTGTAATCTACCGACGTATATATATCCATTCTAGACATCAGAATTTCCATGAAGTATAGTGTGTAACGTGATCGAACTCCTAATAATTCGTGCTCCTTTAGTTGGGATAGACCAGTATTGTTTGTTGTAATAAGTTTTCGTTGATCTCTTTCAATGAGTTGCAGCGATATTTGTTATGTGGATTAACTGAGACTATAAAAAGGAAAAGTAGTTTGTGGCATCTAGTAATCTTGATTAAAAATGGGAAGTTATTTCCGTACAGACAACCTGTAAAATATATATCTGAATCCGGATAAAATTGAATTTCTTTGGATTGTGTTGCTTATGTTCCAAACTTATTGGGGATTTTTTTCTTGTTGCAATTTCAGCTACATTATGGCCATCTTTAATAGTTCCTTTAAATGTAGTTCGTTCAGCTTATGGTTCAGTGAATGGTCGATTTTTTCCTTATCGACAAATAATAACTGAAGCTGTTTTTTCTATTGAAGAAGATACATGCTTACCGTCGGTTGAGTTAATCGAACGTGCATTTGAGGTAATTGGCTTATTTAAAAAAATTCACTCATCAATCTTGAAATAGATTATTTGGAGCAATGTTTCAATATTTTTCTATATAATCTTTTTTCTTCCTTCTTTTTGAACCATATTCTTTAATTCTTAAACTTTCTACTTCTATTATTTTGACTCCTTTTGTATTCCCCTTGTTAATTTCATCTAACTGCGTTAATGCGTTACGGAAACTTACCATTGGAGCATTTGTGTCAAACTCAACTTTGATTATGACAATTGTAACAGTGATTAGAAAACACAGGTAAAAAAAATTAAAAATTATTTAATCCTAAATCGATGTTAATAAGAAGTCTTTTATCAAGACATTTATAAAGCAATTCATGGAATACTGAAAACTCGAATACAACTAAATGGAATTTTTGACAAAAAAAGAACGATAAAAGCATGTTTCAAAGGTAATATACCATGAACTTCTGTAGGTACGAATACTTTGGTAATATAATAAAAAGGAATCTTTCAGTATAGTGTTCATAATATACTGACATTGTGTAGAAACTATCAAAAATTAGGGATCATTAAACAGCCTTTATACTGTACTTTCGAACTCATTAACCAACAGCCATGAACTCGATTTAAACCGAGCTTAAAACATTCAAATCTTTCTATTAACAAGTTTATCATTCAGTTATTGTGTCAAAATTTATTCAGTTCATAATAGCTAGTCTATCATTCAATGCAATTCAATCCGATTTCTGATTTTAATAACTCTACTTATATGCTAATTTCTCACTAAGAAATTCGTAACATGGATCTAAAAATCAACATTTGTTTTAAAATTGAATCTTTAAATCATCCCAATTATATTCATCTTGTTATTGTCATCTTGTCATATTAAGTCAAAGAACATTCGCTCCTAGGCTCTTCTCTTATTACGAAAGACTGATTTTTACAACTGAGATTTTTATAAATCAAAGTTTTAACCATCCATTTAAGGTTATTCTCATACGCAGATGATATAGTCCTGTTTGGTGAAGACGCTGACAAAATGCAGAGTCTTCTGGTAGCACTAAGCAACAATGCCAAAATGTTTGGAATGCGCTTCTCTCCCTCTAAATGCAAATTGTTGCTTCAGGACTGGCCTGTGTCAACACCTGAACTAAGGATACGGAGTGAAGTAGTCGAACGCGTTGACAACTTCACTTATCCTGGAAGTCTGATCAGCCCTTATGGGTTGGTCTCTGACGAAATCTCAGAACGGATTCGAAAAGCTCGCTTGGCTTTTGCCAACTTACCTCACCTATGGCGAAGGCGAGATATCCGTCTATCAATAAAAGGACGACTATACTGCGCGGCAGTCCGTTCTGTTTTAATTTACGGCAGCGAAACATGGCCATTAAGAGTAGAAGATACTCGTAAGCTACTAATATTTGACCACAGATGCCTTAGAAATATTGCTGGCGTCTGCTTGGATCACCGGGTAAGTAATAGTGAGGTTAGACTCAGGGTATTAGGGAAGGATGGTAAATCAGTTGATGAGGTTGTTAATCCACATCGACTGAGATGGTTGGGCCACGTGTTACGTATGCCTGAACACCGATTACCACGACGTGCAATGCTAACCGATGTTGGAGATGGTTGGAAGAGAATTAGGCGCGGCCAAACTAAAACGTGGCATCAATGCTTGAAGTCACTAACTTTTACTCTGAGCCATGTTGGTAGATGCAGACTACTTGGTTGGGGTCCGCGTGACTATCGTAACCAATGGTTGGAGACTCTTGGTGACGTGTCTCAGAACCGATCACAATGGCGTCGGTGTATACACTATCTGTCTTCCCTTAAACTAAGAGATTAAAATCGCTTCATATCTTTCTTTCTACGAACTAATTCTTTCTTCCTGTACTATATCCTTATATGCAATCTTTCTTTTATATATTACCACCTCTGAATTAACTACTTTTATGCATCCGGTGTTCATCTTGCTGTGCTATGAGGTGTGGCCACTTGAACCGATTCATGTATGTGCCTGGTCCTAAGTTGTAACTGACTGACTGACTGGTTAATCTCATCTAGATACTTTTTTTAAAGAAAGAAACTTTACTCTTTAATAAAAATGTTCAATACTGATCATATAAGTATTATTGTGATAATTATTATTACTTTGTAGTTATGGTGCCAAAATCCTGAACGATTAATAAGCTTATCCGATCAATCCATCTGGAATTTATTTGATAATAATCAATCCTTTTCTGCTAGTTTTTCATCAGTGTTTTTCCATAAAGTAAGTGATTTTAAAGAATTACAGTAATGTTAATAATATATGTAATTAAGTAGGAAGAATATATTTGTAAAATCTTAGCGATTGAATTTGAAGTATGTTGAACAATTAACTGGAACAGCAAAAAATAACACAAACATTTATTGACTGCTTCATTTTATTCATGATGTGACATTTAATTTATATCATACATAAAAATTGTATGTTTTCTTTTAAAGATTCACCGATCAGAGGAGATAAATAATCAATGAAATTTCTTCTCACATCTCAGATCCACTTACGTATACATACAATCTGTTATCTTAACACACTTTTCGTTCCACACCACATGTCTGATACACACTAAAGCGAACACTTTAAAAATTGTTAACATAATTGTATGACCCTTTTAGTATACGGTTAACTGTTTATATTCGATAGTGTTGATGTTTGATTATATTTCCTTGGAAAAGCTTAGACTAGATTGCCGAGTGAAACGTTGGATTTACTTCAAATTTGATCTATGAGGTTTTACAAATATATTCTTTCTCCCTAATGTCTTACATTAACTTAGCTCTCGAATACTGTGGAACTGTTCGTTCAAATTCAAACGAAAGTTCTTATAAATATATGTCATTGTATTTACTATAATACATTTTAGTTTACAACGACATCATTTTTCGTATCCGACGCAACCATAGGCTATTGAATTTATAACAGCATTACTATCTCACTGACCTCAGTGTACCAGGTATCACTCTTCAAGACATTTATCGTCTAAATATTAGTCTATTCATAATAAAACACTACATCAATTTTCATGTGTCATAATACTTATGCTCTGATAAATGTTCGTATTATTGATACTACGTTTGCGAAATCGGATCAGAATGTAGAAACAGTTTTAAAAATTCATGTCATGTACATCATCAGTATGATGATATACATGTATTAATTTCTTATTAATGTTGTTCGTGATGATTTTTTGTTTTCCTGTTTTTGATATTCAGAACTAAATTCGATGTCTCTGTTGATATATAGGCTCCTTGACTGAATCGATCTATATCGTCTGCAGTTGTAAGCTTGTTACTTTTTGAAAAGTTTGTAGAAGATAAATTGAAGAAATACGGTGCGCTTCATTTGGCGTTAGATAGATTTATGTATGTCTCCCAATGTTAACTTTGAAACTCGGATCGAGTACCTATCGTTTCAAAAGTCAATACCTTATCCACGAGAGAACATTAATCATTATAAATAATAATAATTGTCATACGAATTTAACAAAGGGTGCATACTGTGACTTAGTGTTTGCAGCGTTGATTTTCGCGTGGAATTCGAGACTCACTGTAAACACTGGGGGACAACCACAGAGATAATGAGTTCTAGGATGAACAAAACATATGTTTTGAATTCCACTACAAGCTGCTATACAGAAATATAATAAATATATGTCAGCAAGGACACATGAACATGATTTCAATATTTTTACGGACTTCCAAATGTAAATGTAATCAGTAGCCTGTTAATTTGTTGACTAATCTGAAGTCGTAAAGACGATTCAGAAGAAACTCAGTAAGATTAGCGATAACATACTAGACCAAAACATTTTTTCATGATGAGTTTATTGCATGTGCTGTTAATATTGTTCCATTATTTTCAGTCATTACTTTCATGATTCAATTTTAACCTTATATCATTCAAATGTAGTAACATTGTAATTTACTTTAGATCTCTTATTTTTACACACATTTCTAATGTAGGTATTCAACATCCATTAACTTCTGTCTTTGTTACTTGATGCGCTCAGCTTACTAAGTATTTAATAAGTGAATTAGTTGCCATAATCGATTTCTTTTGTGGTCTTCACAGTTTGTAGGCTACTTGTAATTGGGTTAAATAAAATTTAACCTGCCCTGTACTATGCTCTATATTTTGTTCGTGACCTAATCAAGCAGTCTAATTATCCAATGATTGTATAATTTAGTATCCCTAGGTCATATTGTCTCACAGCCAGCGTTATAATTCCACTTTCAGTACCCCTTCACAACACTAAATATTATGTATAAATCTCCTATTAAGTCTAATTCATAGTTATGAGTAACATTAAAACGTCTGTGGTTTAAGCTTATTATTCCCATCTGCCGCGACATTGAAGAATTTTACGCACCATTTCACTTTTCACTTTTCATATCTGTCACCCAATAATATTGATCATTTTAAAAAAAGATATGATCGATTATTATTGTTTTGAAATGCATATAAAAGCCAATAACTTGTCCAGTGACCACCTTTTTAATAACAGTCCGCTCTAGCGATCACGAGTTCGCTAGTTTAGATTCGCGTTCAAGCATCGTGACACCGGAATTAATTTGTTTCTCAGCATGCTACTACTGTTTACATCCCTTTTCAGTAAAGCGTTTGACGTTAATTCCCTGGTACGGTCAAGGGTGGGGAGAGTCAGCTTTCCCCCTCGAAATGCTCTCACATGGCCGCGCGTATACAGCCACTTCCAGAGAAGTCCTACTCACTGCCTTCTCGCGGCGGATTGTTGTTTACGTAGGTGAGGGAAAGCGAATGTCCGGCACTTAAACTGATTTCAAACCAATGGTGCACATGGGCTCCAGGATCCCGAGAAAACAAATGACGTATGAACCAATTGTTGGTTACCGGTTATCATTGAACTGTAACTCTTGAAGTTGCTCCACTGCCCTGTGGATTAAACCTTTAGGTCAAATGCTTGGGGAGTGGCCCTCTAAGAAAACCATCTGCTTCGGTTTAGGTGCCCAGGCAGTATTTCAACCCTTATACAGTTCGAATGATTTGTGTGGCGCATACATATTTGGTACCTCCTTTTACCAGTGTTTATGTGTTTAAATAAATAAATATAATGCATTGAACTACAATATTGTCTATTTTTTAGTTATAAGCTTTTGGTATTTGTCATTTTATGTGTAATTTATAGCTGTGTAAACTAATAATTTTAGTGATTATCGATAAACTAACAATATGCTTGTTTTCCCTTTTCATCTTATCCGGACACGCAGCATTATTTACATCTGTATACAGATCTTTTAGCAAGTTCTGTCAAAGCATTTATAGATGATTTAGATACATGTGAAGATATCTTCTTTTATTGGTTCATTATACAAACATCTAATGGTCAGTCGGTGTTGAGCACCAATGGCAGTAACCGTTCATCTATAAACAATTATTCATCTAATCTATATAACTTATCAAATGAATGTAATATTACACCGAAACATTGTTCATTTCATGTAAGTCGATTGAAATCTTTTGTACAACAATTTGACAGAACAAGTTATTATCCAATGAAAATTTCTCATATAACAGCTGGTGCCTTATAAAATGTATTAAATGTTATTAATACTGCTACTACTAATAATAATAGTAACAGTAGTATTACAGCTCATATGTTATGTATATGAACATTTACTTATATCTCATCCGCTTCTGTTTTTCTCAAATTCAAAATAAAAGTCTTCAGATTATTGTGGATTTCTTTGTTATTTAAACGAAAAGTGAAAAAAAATTGACCCTATTATATGAAACATTTTATTATCATGATGAGGTGTATAACATTTAAATCTGTTCAATATTGTGTAACCTAATAGTTGGGTACAACTGGATAATATGCTAAGCTTTGTTTCTAGTCTTCTCGGTATTATGTGAATTAAATGATATTTTGGTGTGGGTTACTTATATCCATATAAGTAGTATATAACGGTGTCAGGCATAGAATGTATTTCAATAGAAGATCGATAAGGAAAGAACGGGAACGGAACGCAATTGGTATGAAAAGGCATGAACAATGTAATCTGAAACAATTGACTGATATTTGCAAAAGGAACAGTTAAGTTTGCGATGATGGATTGATATTTTGCAAATTAACTAGTTACTATATGTGGTTCTCAGATTTTAGTGAAATGTTCTGTAATTTCGTGTCGTAGACATTCGATTGTCCTTACTCGTGTTCTTGTTTACTACAATACTACCAAGCTACCTTGATCAAAAATGATAGAGTCATGAATTGTTCAATTGTTAAGATACAATCATTGGTAGTAATTAGCGTTTTAACACTACTGTTTCTGATGTAATTTAAAATGTAGAATTCACTAAAGTAGTTTTAAATCTTACATGATATCGTTAAATGAAGTGGAAATTTATACCTACTCTAAATTTTGATTTATAGTAACTGATGTAATGGATCAACAATATTGTATTCATCAATTTGTTTCGCTTTTATACAATCAAGCAAGTAAATTCTCATCTAATCATTTGTGTATCACAATTTTAGATTCGTTCGAAATTTATGGAAAGAATTATGCTTTCACTAAATTAATAATCATTCTTTATAGTTCAGTGTGATGAGGTGAGGGATGGGGATAAATTCAACTGTCTTCTAATTCTTACATAAGTATTTTGAATGCTAATAAAAGTATTGGTCATTTAAAACTGACTAGAAAAATGTCGCCAGTTTAGAAGTCTCAATCATATGGATATTGAATTCATTTCAACCTCATTGCCTCGAAAAATCCATTGGATTGACAATTAGGAATGATTTTTTGAAGCAGAATGCATCAAATAAAATTTGTTGAAACGTTATACTTATTAACTAGAAAGAAGAAACTATCGTCTCCACTGTAGTATCACTAGCAGAATCTTAACTTTGTTAATAGTTACATTACTTCTGTGAGTTTTATTGTAAAATGGTAACTGCGCATCATTCTCACCAGCCACCTGATATTAATATAATTGTAGTGAACATGAAATCTCAGCAATATGGATATGTAGAACAATAAATTGCTCTTAACAAAAGTGTTTAAGATTAGGAGATCGGTGTATCTATCGTATGTGCAACTTCAAAAAGACCATTTATTGATCGTTTATATTTTTAGTAAGTAATAGCAGACTAGAATGAATGATGTTTTCAATAGATTTTACCAAATCATGAGTAATCTATCTCTTAATCTTTACTGTGTTCATTTATTCGACAAGTTAAGGATAGCCACTATTTGAAACAGGATGTAGACAGGCTCTTATCATTTGTTACCTAAATCTATATTCATTGATCTAGTTGTTATGATTCACTTTTCTAGGTATTTTTTGTACCTGTCTGTGATGTGATGTGCTTGTTGATAAATTCTCCATACATGTTTATCCATTTTATTCATATTCAATACAATCAATTCATGTGTATGTTTGGTTATTTCTGTTTACTTAAATAATCCATTGGCAACTACCAAGGTTCATTCTGAACAAACCTGTGAATGTGTATCTTATTAAGTGCACCCCGTTGTGTCAGTTATTCTACTAGTTTATATTAATGTGACGTACAACGAACATCCGATCATTTTCACTATCGATTCCACTTGTCCGATTACTTACTAGTCAAGAAACTATGATTTCCGTAATAAGATGTGTTTATTTACTTATTTCAGATATCATTCTCTGTCATTCAGTTGTTTAAATCTCTCTAGTAATAATTGATATCGATGACTGAAAGTGTTTCATTTCGATCTAATGAGTAACAAGAAGGTTGTAGCTTAAAAAGTTCTATTTTTTTTAATTGTTACAACTAAAGTATATTTATTATTAACCAACTTAGCCGTAAACCCAGTTGATTTTCTCTAATGTCTAAATATTTCTCTTCATATTTAACTACGAAAGCATCTAAATAATTCGATTACCTTCTACTTCATTCAAATAGTATAAATTCAGTAAAATAAGTCTACTAGAAAAATACTAATTTATTTCATTATCAAATTTGATTAATTTATTTTATTATTATTGTATGCTTTTCATGATAATAATCATTGGCAAAAAATGGCATCATGTTTCCTACTGTTCTCCACTGTTCACTTCAATCTCTTGAAACCGATTCATTAAATGTTTATCAAATAAGTGCGATGGTACATTAGGCAAACCATAATCCCATCCATATCGTTCACGTGCTTCAGCTAACTTAGCTAATCTTTCCTCACGATTTAGTTTAGGTAGCCATGGATAACGAGGGCATATACGAATATCTTGTCTATTTATAGTTTTCTCTAAAGAATATGTATGTTTAATTAAATAAGATAAATCAAAATGTTTCTGCATTAAATTTGGATATAAACCAGGTAAATTATTTGGTGGAGTGAATTTTCTAGTAGGAGAAACTGAACGTTTACTTGAACTAGTCGATCCAGCTGTAGTTGGTCTCTTGAAAAAGATTATGGGATAAAAGTTAAAATATATCAGAGATGAGTAATATGTTTACAACAATTGGTAGATGATAATAGACTATGTAAGTATCATTCAGTAAAAAGAAATATATTTCTAGAAGAAGATAGTCAGTTTTCTACATTCTAGTCTTTAGATACAATTGAAATTTGTTAGCATCAATCGTATGTGATCAAGTTATTTAGCTAAATTACATATAATATTTATTCTGTATTGTTTCTAGGAGACTGGCAGCTAATTTTCCATTCTCGTTGACACCTATCTGTAAGATACATTTACAAAGTTTGATAAACTTATGTCAGAGACTCAAGAGTTATGTAGTTAATTTTGAATGATAGGTAATTTGACGCAGTTCAGCTTCAATTATCTATATTAATGATTTAACTGTGGATAAGTTTTTGTTGATCACTGTTGCAATTCACTAGTATGATAGCTGATAAAATTTTCTTGATGGAATTTAATCAGTTACTGCTAGAACTGTATGTAAATAACATGTGAAAAAGTATTCTTATAAGGTCTCGAAATACTGATTAATCGTTATGAATGAATCGTGACCTTCATTGTCGAAAGAGACAAAATATAGCAGGTTCACTTATGTGGTGCTACATAGAAGGTCAATTTCTTTATCAGATTGATAAAGTTGTTTCGTATGTCGAAAAAGAAACGATAATTCGAATGAATAGTAATCAACTGTCTACTGCCGGCAATATAAATGGGTACATGAACAATAGTAGTTCTACACGATACACAGATAAAAATCACTAATTTCAGTCCTTACGACTTCAATTCTTCAGTGAATTTAAACAAATAAACAATTTTAATTTAAATACTGTCACACTTATTGTTAACGCATTCACGTTATATAATTCAATGTACATAGAAACTATATTTGTATTATTAAACTGACCGTAAGTAAATTTTATGCGGACAGAAATGCTTTAAAACGAACTAGATATATTTAAGAAATTCGACTGTGCAACTGCTCATACGAAAACTAAGCGTTATGACGTGAAATTATAGTTTTATAAATTTAATAAATACTGATACATTGTTTGATTAATAGCTATTCGAAACACGGAATTCTCATTCTGAACAATAAGTACGATTTAGGTTGAAACACTTAATTTAGACAGTTTTTTACAAAGTTGAATTCATGAGTCAATCTAGGCTAGATCACCATTGAAAATCTGAAAGCACTAAACAGTCGTTTGGTCCCAGTACAAGACTAATCAGAAGCGCGCATCCACGATCCTGTACGCAGGACTCGAACTCAGAACCTTCGATTTCGTGCGCGAACGCCTAATCTCTAGACCACTGAGCCGGTATGCAACTGTGCTAATGTCTAACTCCAATAGATCCATGATCCTGCGCGACCCCTTCATCCATTGTCTGATTTGGATAACTGTCTCACACCCGACACGGATCGGACTCCACTGATCACGAGTTCTCACTAGAACTCCATGAAATTCATCTTGAAGCTAGTCACTAGTAACCACATGATTATTAACAAAATGGGGGTTTGTGGAGATTGTAGTATTTTCAAAGTTGAATTCATGAGTCAATCTAAGCTAAACCACCACTGACAACTGGAAGCACTGGACGACAATTTCGTTAACTAGGGGATATTTGATAACTTTAGCTTATGAACTGATGCGTAAAGAATCGTGAGTACAACAGAATTCTCGCGTACTATGTGAACCAATAGACGTCCCAGGTACACTGTATATGCTTTTTCCAACTCACTCAATGACGATAAGCATTTAAATTATCATAGAAAATTTGATTCACAGAATGGGATTTTACTATCCAATCTAAACTGGAACAATAATGTGTGACATATTTGTACGGAATTTTCATTTGAACAAGTATTTTCGTAAAGTGAATATTATATTCGTCCGACTACATTTTCAGCAAGTTTATATTTTCACTGTAGACCTCTATACAATAATGCAAAGTGTGAATTGAGATCAGTCGTACTAGCCATTTCGACTGTACTTTTAGAAGTAGGGGGAAATAGATGTTTGTTATCTGTTCTATTTAGTCATTCGAATCTGTTTTTGTTTTGTATCACCATATAAGTACATAATCAACTTTTTAATTCAATCTACAATGGGTTTAGTAT